AGTTGAAACTATGGTTAAGTCTGTCCATGTGTTGTGAGATTAAAGAGTTTTCATTGTGCCTTCTGACTGCTAGTTGGTGTTTAAAGATGCACTCTGCTAGTCTTCTGTGTGTCTGTCCTACATAGTGGTTGTTGCAGTCCTTACGCTATATGTTGTAGATGACTCCTGTTTTTTCTTCTTGGGCTACTGCATCTTTTGGTTTACTTAAGATATTTTGGAGGACTTTGGTTTGTGTGCTACAGAGATGCCACGTGGTTGTAATAGTCTGTTGGTTGTTTCTGAGATGTTTCTGATATATGGAAGTGTTATCCTTTTCATAGCTTGTATTGGTTGTGCTGTAGTGGATTGAGTGGTCAGGCACTTTTTGATAAAGTTGTGTGGATATCCATTTTGTTGGAAGATGTTGTACAGGTTGTCTGTTTCCTTTTTCTGCTGTTCTGGGTTGCTGTAGTGCGTTTGTGCTAGTCTGGATAAAGTTCTTACACAGCAACTCTTATGGAAGGTTGGGCTGTTACTTTGGTAATGGACTACTTGGTTAGTGTGGGTTGTTTTTCAATAGACTTGTGTTTCTAATTTGCCATCATTTCCTCTGCTGATGAGGAAATGATGGCATATAAAATTAATAATAAATAAAAATAAAAATGTGGATATCCAGGAAGGGTATTTTCTTCTTCTCTACTGTCTAATACTATGTCCTGTATTTTGCTTTATTCTGGATTCAGGTCACTAACACATTCAAGTAAAGAAAATAGTTCCAAAATAGGTAGTTTCTGATCCCATTTTCTTTACAACATAACTGTTCAAGTACAGTACATTTCCAAATCATAGAATTATCATTATATTAATTTTCTTTCTTATCACATACATGAATTCACATAATAATCAGAAGATACATCAGAACATTGACTGCCCCATTGCACTGAACATTTTACAATGCTGACTAACAATTATTGATAAAGTTGATATTTTATATTCAACACTTTTCCTCTATAGTATTTTAAAAATATATCAGCTATGATTCAACCAACATTTAGGTGAAAGCCAAATAAAAAAGCAAATATTTACATTTACAATATCCTTAATAGGTTTCAGATATTTCAATCTACAATATTTGCATTGACATTTGATGGAGGTGATACTCCTGACCTAATGTTAATTACTACATAAAGTAAAGACTACAAGGGAATGACTACAAAGAAACTGCAATAAATTTGACTAAATATTTTTAAACATATTATAAATAATTTAATTAACAATACAATGAACTGTGTTTTTTCCTTCTTTGTACTTTTTCCAAGTTGTTCCACTCTTTCATTTTAGCCTTAATCATAATTTTCTGTGGGTCATTGCATTATATGTTATAAATAATCATTTCTGAAGAAATATCAGTGCTAAGTGTTATAGCAAAACTAGCAAAAACTGTGGTCATTTAACAAAGTACAAGCTTTGTAGTCGAGAATTCAATTCATCAGATTGAAGAGTTACAGATAAACTATCAAGCTCTTGGCAGCCCACTTCAACAGAAAGCAAGGTTCTCCCTGGGTTTAACAAGATTTATTGAAGAGAATAAGATCAAGTTACAGAAATCTCAAACTGGGCAACTTTCATTTTTAGAATTCAATTTATCCCTCAGCTAGTTAAGATGAAGACTTTTTCAGTTTACTAACAGCTTGTGTGTGAAGTGGCAAGGAGGCCATTCTCTTAACTGATAAGAGAGGAATGTCCAGGTGCCAGGTACTTCTCCATATATTTTGGGCTACAATTCCACAATCTCTGCTATTGCTAAACTGACTGAAGTTGATAGGAGTTGTATTTCAAAATATCTGGAAGAGACCAGGTTGACTATTTCTATACAACGTTCTTTGTTCTTTTAGAGATATTCATGTTATAAGAAAAGTAAATTCCAGGTAGAAGGTAGAAAAATAGAGAAAGTTATAAGAAAAATGTATTAGCAATAGAGTACTGGACAAAGCCTTTTTACCAAAATCTGTAAAATATTTTAAATATTGTCTCCTTAACTGCTTTCTATAATATATTTATATATGGTATGGTCATTCACTAGTCCTAAGAATGCCAATAAGCCTTGAAGCAGCAAAGGTCCTTGTTTAATAAAGGACAATTATATTTTTCAAATACTTAAAAACAAAGCCAAAATTAATATTAGACTGCTATCTCCTACTCTAAAAAGAACTGTCCGTCCTGTACACTAACAAATAATTTTCAGGAAAGGTGATCTATTAATGGATATAAAGCAACCCGTCACATCGGAAATCTCTGACAAATGCTTTGACGCACAAGCCATAACAGTAAATTACCCTGTTGTATGAATATTTTCTGTATGTCAACTACATCACTGTGTTACAGAATAATGCAGAAATAGGTATACATTTATGTAGGCACAGAATATGCAAATCAGGCATACATTCTAAGGATCAAATAATAGGGTTCTTACCCAGATTATACCACATGTCACGAATCTCAAAACCAATTTGTCTTCTCATATCACCATACCTAGAGAAAGTGTAAATTTCTTATTAAAATGGTAGTATTGAAAGATACTTTAACTGACTATATCAAAAATAGTAGCATTTAGAACTAAATTGCATCTTATAACTTTGAATAATGGAAAATTTGAATAATGGAAGATTTTTCAATTTGTTAGGCAATATTTCCACTGTTATGAACAGGAAAAACATAAGCAAAAATTACATTGACATTCATAAATCATACAGAAAGAAAATGATTTAAATAATAAATCAAGAAAACCTCTAAATTCATGCATCCTAGCTCCCAGTTTAACATCTGTATTTCACAACCTTGCTTAAAGGGAAAAAAGAATTCCAGTTGGTACTGTTTTTTCTGTAAACTTTTCACCTGTGGGATTTTCACTTTGCTTTACTGGCATATTGCACAACTGTCCCTTGGGAATCTAGGGTGGTTATGTAGATTAATTAAAGTATTTTTCATTTCTCAGTCTCCTGAATAAAACAAATTGAACACCCTTAGGAATATTTTATTTTAGGTTTATTTTAATATACATGGAATGTAGAAAATGACAAATGATAAGGAGCAGGAATCAAGAACAACCAATCAGATCAATTATTTTTAAACAACCATGACACCTGTTGAGACAACACAATGGAATTAAATGTATGGTATCTGGAAAGCTTACAGAAATTAGACAAAAATAGAATATCATTTGTATTAGATGTTATACTTTTAAAAAGATGAATATACAGTTGTGCTTAAAAGTTTGTGAACCCTTTTGAAATTTCAATATTTCTGTATAAATATGACCTAAACATAATTTGTTCTCCACACAAGTCCTAAAACTAGACAAAGAGAATCCAATTAAACAAATGAGTCAAAAACATTATACTTGTTCATTTATTTAGTGAGGAAAATGATCCAAAGTTGTGGATCATTTGTGTGTGGCAAAGGTATCTGAATATCTAGGACTATCAGTTCATTTGAAGGGGAAATTAGAGTCAGGTGAACACTGAACACATTCTCTGTGTTCAGCTTTAGGTTAGCTCAGACTACGTGATGATGGATTGAAGTTACTGTCCGTAACCTTAAGACTCACAAGCATGCAGAAAACATCTAGAGCAGTGGTTCTTATACTAGGGGTAATTATCCCCAAGGGGGATATACAGTGGTACCTCGGGTTACGAATTTAATCCGTTCCGTGACTCTGGTCGCAACC